TTTTTCTCTATCGTTTAAAATTTATTTTAATTGAATTACGCCGGAGTTAAAGTTATTTACATTTACCAAATTTAATATTTTAGTGTTGTATACAATATAAATTGCATACAAAGGATTTCCTATAAAAAATTAAGCTGAGTCAATGAGTAAAATATTTAACACAAGCATTAAAATAAATAACATGAATGTTCAGAAATCTATCGTTTATCTGACACTTGACACTTGTTTTGCTTCAATATTAGCCATATGTGAAGTTAACGTATCAATTTGACATAAAGTAAATCGTGACATTTGTCCTATAACTAATCACATATTATGTATATGTAAATACTTATGTAACAATAATATGTAGCGATATACGTTGATACATCTTCTGTATAAAATTCACTATATTTTTGATAGTTCGATACATAAACTTTTAGCAGCTTCTTTCTGATTTCAATTGTAAGGGATATAGAGAATATTTTGCACCCTGCGTAGAACAACGTGACATCTGCAAAATTGGAATTGTTCAGGACGGCCGATTCAAAACTTTTTTATATCAGCTATAATTTTCTTATACATAGCAGTTGCTATTACAATTTTTGGGGTTTGTAATATGAATAGGTATATAAACAAACAGTATACTTTTGAATAAATAATTATATAAATTTAGGAAATAAGAGGTTTCATGTGTAATAGTGACGTTTTCCTACGGAAAATGGCAAAAACTAATAGAGTATATTACACTCGTCTATTACATTAGTAAGGTTAGTCTAGTCAGTACAAAAAAACAGTGTCTAAACGTACATATGTCTTTGTACTGCGGAGCACAAATCAGATAGAACGTTGTTCTATTGTGAATCTTAATATCTATAAGTCAGAAGAAAAAAATTAAAATGTTATCTGAAAGCGTAGACAATAATTAAGACTATCCGACGATAAAATCAAATTCGTTCTATGTGACCACAGAACGTTATTCTACGCACGGTGCGATTTGTAAATTTATGAAGACAATTTAAGGAAACATTAGTTGAGGCAGATTTAACACTACGCAATTAAATGACATCCGGTGACAAGTTGGTCGTGTTTTATACTTTCGTATTTCTACTGGTAAGTGAGATGATCTGGCCCTAATTTTTTAAGGGTAGGCAAAGCATTTGAAACGCCACAGGAATTATAGGTGCCCATTGGCGGTACTCACTCAGCATTAGGTGAACTGTCCGCTCTCATTAACAAACCACATTGCTTATAGTTCCAGTGCCGTAGTTCAAACGTTAATAATAAAGTATAACATATTATATAATATACAATATACATATTATCATCATATACATATTATCATAATATACATATTATATAAAAGTATAACATATTATATAATCTGTAACTATTCTGCAACCATACTCATGTCAAATGAGTGCTATTGTTTTAATTGTAAGAAAAATCATTTCATTCCTTTCATAAAATTAACTTCATTCCTTTCACTGAGTGTGATGTTAAGAAGAACATATTATCAATCTCGTCCAATGCCGTGGGTGACGACAACGTTAGTCGTAATATGATTTTACCCATCCTTGACTTTATTACTCCTATTATTACCCATATCCTTAACGCATCAATCTCTTCATTCAAGTTTTCCGAAGCTTGGAAAAGTGCTCAAGTTACTCCTCTCCCTAAGAAGGCCCATGCATTGCAATTTTCCGATTTTCGTCCTATTTCTATTCTCCCGTTCCTGTCCAAAGTTCTAGAGAAACTAGTTTTCCAACAGTTAAGTCTCTATCTGAACAAAAATTCTCTTCTTAATCCTCTTCAATCCGGTTTCCGATCAGGTTATAGTACGACTACAGCGTTAGTTAAAGTTACTGATGACATTCGACGGTGTATGGATAATAAACAGCTCACTGTATTAGTGTTGCTAGATTTTAGTAATGCATTTAATACCGTTGATTTTGACATTCTGTTGAGTGTGTTACGTTCTATTAACATATCTCCACTAGTGATTGGCTGGTTTTAAAGTTACTTAAGTGGCCGACGGCAGCGTATTCACATAGAGGATGAATTCTCGTCTTGGTGTGAATTGCGCGCCGGAGTGCCTCAAGGTGGTGTGTTGTCTCCTCTTCTATTTGCCGTATTCATTAATTCAATTTCTCAAAATATCACTTCTCTCTATCACATGTATGCAGACGATCTCCAAGTGTACACACAGTCAACTCTTGAAGTCTTGCCTACTGCTGTTTCCGCCATCAAGATGACCTGGCCGCTGTCAGTGAATGCAGTAAAATCTATGGTCTCAACGTTAACTCTACTAAGTCCCAGGCTATTATTGTTGGTGGTGTTGGCTTGATTTCAAGAGTTGACTGGAATAACCTTCTCTTGGTAAAATTAAATGGCGTCATAATACCGTACTGCACCACTGTGAAAAATCTTGGTGTCCAATTTGATAATTCTCTTTTGTGGGCGGATCAATTGAATCAAGTGAGCAGAAAAACATTTGCTGCGATGGGTTCTCTCCGTCGTTTACGTTCTTTTCTTCCCATTCCAACTAAAATTATGCTAGCACAATCCTTACTCCTGTCCATTCTCAATTATGCGGATGCAAGCTACCTTGATTTAACTGAAAAACAACTAAATAAACTTGAGCATATTAAAAATTTAGCTATTAGATTCATATTTGGTTTACGCAAATATGATCACGTTTCCGAATAAGAACTCCTTTACAGTTAAGGCCATCTGCTTGTGGAATGAACTTCCTCAGCAAATTCGCCGTTCGAAGACGCTAGACAAGTTTAAAAATGACGTAAAACAACATTATCTATCGCTTTGTAATCCATAGTTTTTAATGGCAATATTCGGATTTAATTCTTCTCTCTTGTATTTATTTATGTTATTCATATATGTTATATATCTATTTATGTATGTTTATGTATGTTTATTATAATTTCTTTTTATTTTATTATATTTAAGTTTATTTTGATATTAAGCAAGTTTATTGAGTACACCACCTCCCACTATTCATTAGTTTATTTTTCCTCGTCCTAAGGTTGTCTGGAAGAGATCGCTTTTTAGCGATAAGACCGCCTTATTGTACCTAGCTTTTAAGACTTATTTTATACTAATTGTATCAAATTCTTTGTGGTGTACAATAAAGTATATAATAAATAAATAAATAAAAATCATTGTAAGATACAAAAAATAAAGCCTAGCCCATTAAGTTGGGAATAAGAATTAGGTTATCCATTTCTCTTGCACATCTGCGCATAATACGATTTTAATACGCGGATATTTAGCCATTAGCTTCTACACTTATTACTGGTTAGGGTTATTTAACATTTTAAATAACGTATAATCGGATACGAGGCAGTTCAATTTAATTTTGTAGGCGCAACGCGATGGCATACTATGTAATGTTTGATATCAAAATTCCTTTATTTTTTTTTAATTTAAAAACTCTATGGTGTACTTACAAACTGGTGACTGACTAGTCATCAGGCTCAATATCAGGGACAGAGAGGTGGCCCGTTTTGGATATAATTATTATCGTAATTTTCTAAAAACAAGCTATTTCTTATAAATTTAAGACGTAAGACGTTTTAAATATTAACCGCTAAGAAAGTATTATATAAAGAAACATCGTGGAGTAATCCAAATATAATAAATACGTCAGCAGTGTTATTACAACCAGCTACGGTATTGTATTCTGAAACATCCCTGCCCCGTGACGCATACTCGTATCTAAGCTAGACAGCGGAGCATAATAATTTATATGACAGGATAACACATATGGCAGGTTGTAAGCCACTGGTTAGGAACTTCTATTAACTTAGTAGGTTTACATCGTAAGCATGCATTAAATAATGGTGTTTGAAGTCTAAAAAAAATTAATTTGGCCTTTTAAGCAAAAGTAATACACATGTTGTGTCGGAATACTTTTAAATTCCAAATGGGATAGTAAAAACATGAGCCGTGATAGTTTCTTGTCCGGACGTTCGCTTTTGATTCGATATACTCGAGTCACCTTAATTCAGTCTCCGGTGACGACACAAATGAAATTATTAATTTTAAGTGAATGAAATTATTAATTTAATCAACTATGATATTATTAATGCGCTCAACGATGAAAGAAAACATCGTGAGGAAACCTGCCTATTTTCGGAAGATTAACAATAAATAAAATATTTCGAGATATGTGAAACCCGCCAATCTGCAGTGGGGACTACGCACTAATACCCTAATAACTATATAATTATATACCCTAATAACTAATGCAGTACCGAGGGTGCCTTTTCCAGCAGTAGGACATAACAGGCTGTTACTTCAATTTACTTGTATAATGAAAAAAATTGTATGAAAATTCGCAATTACGTTTTATTCTAACCAAACAATGGCTATGACCTCAGCGATGGGTTCGAAACACCTACTAAAAAAATTCGTGTTAGTTACTCAAGAATAAATATATGTATATCTAGGCTATATAATTGCTGTAACGGTCCAAGATGACCACGAAGAGAATTTCAATTTGCACGTGCATGTTTTTAAGCATTTTTTGTTTAAGTATGCAGCGCATAGAATAAAGTTCGAATGTCTTACACTTTTATTTCATGCGGTTTTCAAAGACTAACTTAACTAACATCCAAGAATTTTGATTGACAATGATCAAAGCAAGTTTGCTCTGTCTCTGTGGTATAGTTCCTCATGGATTACGTATTGGACATAGACCGCTCAGAAAGGTGTTGTTTCTACTTTCAGCCTTGCAGTCCTTCAAGGCACATCTGCATCCATGTTTGTTAACGAGTTTCAGATTAGGGATTTGCGTAGTAGAGACACCGTTACCCTCGAATAAAATGAATTTTAATTCTAAGGCTACTATACTGTATGTACTAGCTGTTAAAATGCGTTCAAAGGCTATTAACAACTTATAAAATATACTTGCTTCAATCTTTACTGTTGGAAGTAATCAAATAGGCGGTATTTAAATTGGTTATCAGGGTTTTAATTTAGTGTGATGTATTAGCTTGCTATTTCCGACTCCGTTTTCTTTTGACCGTAGAGTCCATAACCTTTAGAGGGTCGTTGTCGCGTTTTTGCAATTCAAAGATCAATAACGAAGCGAACTTCCTCGCGTTCTGAAGATTCTCCTTCATCTGCACAGACGCCCCTTTTACGTTCACGTCCGGATCGTTCCAACTCAAATAAGCAGAAGGTGCACTATGATTAAAGTTAGCAGTCGTTGTTGTTTTCTTCATGGTAGCGAAAAAGGTTTTAAAGTATCTTTCCCTCGCCTCTTTGATGGCCTTCGCTGACATTTTATACCTGTTTTTCGTTATATTCCCCCCAACAGTCACTGTGGTGTTCGCACAGCCCGTGTTCGAGTGACCCGCCTTCATGACTTTTTTCTCATCATCCATAAAGATCACTTTCGCGTTGGAACTCAAATCGACCCCTTTAGAGTTTCCATAATCGTATTCGGGAAAACTCGTCACTATATAAGACGATCCATTTAGACGTCGCACCTCGTAAGTTTTAACACTTGTCGCTTGCGGCACGAATCTTGTCACAATGTACTGGATGAAGAAAATATACCTGTTCCGTAAATTCATTAAATTTCTGCCTTCTTCGTGGAATAAATCACCATTTATAAATAGCTTTTAAATCTTTAAGGCTTTGACGTAATTAATGTCAAAACAACCAGAAACTATATGAAACGAACATTTACCTTTTGTTTTTCTCTAATGACAGTCAACATCCCTTACGTTCGTGGTCTCTACGCAAGAATTTATAGATTATCTATAGCAAATAATATGGACGTAACGTACAAGTATTATCGAGATATCTGTTAGAAATTATGATTTTAACAATATTACGATTTTACCTCAAATTTTTTGTTTCATTATGAATGTAAAAGCAGTATTCCTTATTACTCCAAATTCATCTATCGTTTGAATTTTGATAAGCTATAGAACAATTTGGTGCAATAATTATAATATGGACCTTAATTTAAATAAAATGTTCAGTTAGATTTTAATCATTTAATTTTTAATTTAATCATTTGCTATCAAAATAAACAATGATTAATTTAAACCTGTTTGTATATCATTTTTCAATGCGTATTTATTTGGTAAGGCTTGATAATTAAATAAAACTGTTAGATAAAGCATCCTTGCGCACATGCACCGGAGCCATTGCCCAACTCGGGGGGTCGTATCAAGCTCGTAGGATTAGCATTTCCCACGGGCATGCGTTCGTTGACGCTATATTAATCTATGAAGGAAAAATTTTCATTCAAAGCTTAAGAAAGTAATACACCTACAGCATGTACAGCATACCAAAGTAAATCTGACTCCGACAAAGTACAATATTTAAAAATGTATCATTTCAGACATACAGGTATGTTTATGAATATGTTAATTACGTTTTTAACCTAACGTTCCTTTACAATCTGTTCAGAAACCAAATCGATTGCCCTTAATATCTACCGAGGCTCCGCTTTGCACTTCTAGGTAAGTACCCCTGAAATTGGTTGGCATATTATGTCCCTCTTGTCGGAAGACCCGTCCTAAGTTCTGCTTCTCCCGATGCGCGATTGAGTAGGCTTTATATCTGTACACCGCCACTTCTAGTTAGACACATTCATTGACAGATAATATGTTTTTGTGCCCAAAACAAGTAATTTGAAAACACACTCAAATTACTTTTGTTTTGGCGAAACTTGTGCATGCAATGTTTACCTATAATTAGTTGTTAAATGAATTCTTTTATTTTTTAATGTATTCTTTTATTGTCTGATTGTGACGACAATTGTTCGTGAATTTTATACAAATTGAATTTTGTAGACTGCGCATAAACTCACACTATTGGTAGCAAACATTAGTGAATTATTTTAAAAGATGACAATCAGATGGATATCACATCATATTAATGTCTGTCAGACGTAAGCTTTATGAGAATTAAAACTCTAAAATAAAAAGTGAATCAAGTTAGACAATGGACGTCGAGAGTTACTCTCATGTAGCAGAATCAAGGTCAGATTTACCAGCTAACGCATCTAAAATATGCTTCACTGCTCGATTTGTCTCGTTCAATCAAGTTTATACAATAATAATTAGTAATAAGGTGCATTTTCTATCTTTCAACTTTGTGATTTAAAACCTGTGGAGAGTCTGAGAGTCAGTTCTCAATGAGTTTATTGTTTCCAATGTCAATGAATGAAAATTTCTCAATTGCTTCTTCCGCAAACGGAGAGATAAACTTTAGAGAAGGTAGGCTGTGGCTGTAGGATTTTTTTTTCACTTAGCTTATAAAGTAAAACCAAAAAATTGTTTGTTTTTGTATAAAAGTTGGCAAACGAGCAGACGGTTCACCTGATGTTAAGTGAATACCGCCGCCCATAGACATCTGCTACACCCGAGGGTTGCAGATGCGTTGACAACCTTTTGAAAATTGGGCTCCGGCCACCTCACTCACCAGACGAAACGCGAAAGTATTATACTTCCACTTTACGCTGGTCTTCTGTGAGATCGTGGTTGGACTTACCCGGACGAGCCTGCCCATACGTGCTACAGCCGAGGTTGCTGCGTGGCTCTACCACTGATTGTTGATTTAATTTTGTGATTGTTGATTTAATTTTCTAATTGCGATTATTAAAGAAAATAATTATAAATAAAATTAAAGAATTTAAAATAGCCGCTGCATACTCGTGGAACAGTAACAGTACTTTCCTTTTTCTTAATGAAGAGTGAAAAGAGGCGACAGAGAAAAGTTCATGGCTGATAATCGAGAATAAACTCTAAAATAGTATCTCCGTATGGAAAGAGACAGTTCCTGAAAGCATCCCGGCACCATGTGTACTAATAATCGTTCCTGCGGTTTAGACAGGGCACGCATATGGCAAAACTTGTGCCATTGATAGCATAATATTATCCATATATTTTTAATTTACAAATAAAGGGTAATAACAAATTGTTTTTTCTTCTTCTAATTCTTGAATATATCCTTACTAATCCTTTCTAATATTATAAATGCGAAAGTTTGTATGTATGGATGGATTTTTGTTAATCTTTCACGCAAATACTACAGAATGGATTTTAATGAAACTTTATAATAATATAGCTTATACATCAGAATAAGACATAGGCTATAATTTATATACATATTTTGTGTATTTCTGTTTTTCGGTCTGAATGTTACGCCTTCAGCCTATTCTAAGCAGACGTAGTTGCGAGCAGCAGCTAGTACTTTATAATATTCTTTGATTGGTTGGAATTATTTAAAATAATGTAATGATTAAGTAATATTATCTGTCCTCTCAATCACGATTCAATTTTGGCCGGATTTAGGGGAGGGCAACCGGGGCAACGGCCCCGGGGCCTCCACAAGCGAAGGACCCCCACAATAAAGACTTTAAAAAAATCAAATTCAGACTAACAATAGTAAACAACTTTTCCATTCATATTTTTTTCGCGTTTTACCTAGAGTACTTTGTACAAACAGGATTACATTAAATATTAACAGAAATCAATAGAAAATAATTTGGGGCTAAGTGGCCTCCACTCCTTTGTTGCTCCGAGGCCTCCAGACCTATAAATTTGGCCCTGAATTTTGCACATACGATCTCCTTATTATATATACTCAATTCCTCCTGATTATACTCAATTCCTTTATCAATTTCATCTATATTATATGGATGTTTATTCATTCAGTTTTTGCTATGTAACTACAAGATTTTATTTTGATGATGTTAACTCCTTGTTAAAAAAAGCCAAGCAAAAGCAAAAACGTAAATTAAAGCTAAGCGAAAACGTAGCATTTGCACCGGTGATTTAATATTAATATATTTTAATAATTTTAGTTATTACAACGAATTGTAAATATTAATAACGGGTTTTGGATAAAAACAAATCACAAAATACAAATACGTCGATTACCCAGGCAAAGTCAATCAAGATGATTTGGTGCAGTTTTTTAGTATTAGTGATTTGTTAAGTTTAACAAAGTTCTGATACTACTCCATTTACGTCGCTGTTCAAATAATTATAACTACGACGAATACGCTTTCACTTGCGTCTGTGTTAGTCGATGGATTTGGTTATGGCTCAATACACAAACGAGTCTGAACAGACACTGATATTATCAGATAACAATTAAAATTATATACAGATTAAAATTATAAACAGACACTGATATTATCAGATAATATCAGTGTCTGTTTATAAACATTTAGATGCAGATAATATATGTAAAATGCAAATAGGAAAAAAAAAGTTCAAGAACCTTTTTCCCCTTTTAATCTATAAATAACTGATGTTTTCGCTTTCAGTACGTTGAAGCTAATCTACATGACTTCACGAAAGAGCCAGATTCCACTAGCTTGATATAACCCTTCAGACTGAGTAAATCTGCGTATGTGCTCATGTGTGCGATATGTACTGAGGTAGGGATTGTCATCTATGGGCTAGAGGGGTTGTAGCCTCGATGGCCGCTGACTTCTTTGGCTGAGAGCCGTAAGAATGGACGTTGGATGGACGCGTTCCATGGGCGATGAGGAACTATTTTTTATATGTACGCCGCAACGCTGTCAATGGACAGTGTTGCGGCGGGATCTCCACTGGGTCCGGAATACTTCCGTCATTCTTTGACCGGATTGATGACAATGTTATTTGTGCGACTTTCCCAAATGGTCATTCGGTTGCTAATAAGCCGCTTTTACCACAAGAGGATTGGAATGACTTTCGATCCTCTCTTTTTAAAATGATCGGCTGTGGCAGAAATGGGCAGGTACGTCCGGGTACTTACCCGGACGTACCTGCCCATTTGCCAAATTCTGTCAATTCGTGGTACTTACCACGACCTCACAGAAGACCGGCGTGAAGTGGCGTTATAACTTAACATCAGTCGTATCACCAGCTCGCTTGTTACCTTCTCAAAAAAAAAAAAAATGAATTATCCGATGCGATGGGCGAATTTTGGGGCTCTACAAAAGAAAACATACATTGGGGCCTATTTGTATTCCTTCTCTGTAATCCGCCGTGCCATTGAGTAAAACGTGACTGTTGTTCGAGTATCATCGATGAAAAGAAACGTTATTTGTTTTACCGCAATCGACAATCTCGTACGATTACCTAACCCGCGTTTGCGGCCCAGAACTTTCGATCATGTGTCAAAAAAGTGAATTGGAATTCGCTTCGCATTTACGCGGTATACGGGCAATCGTGAAAGCAGGGTTTCGACATTTACATAAGCAATAGATGTATTATAGAAAACTATGAAAATGCTGTCAATTTAGTTAGGTTTTGCTTTTAGATATCCTCACATTGCTATTCGATTTAAACACTGAATGAATTCAGTGGATGATTAAAGGTAAACAGCACTATATCCCTCAAGACAAGCAATAACATATGGACAAAGTTTCGTATTAACCTGGTCATTCAATATTTCTCATTCAAAATCATACCATTGACCACATTTTTGTTTGATAAATTTGATTTTTTTGCATTATATTTTATCAAGTTATTTTTTATGTTGTTTAATTTAAGTGAGCCTACCAATATTGTGTACACATTACTTTTCTAATTTAAACATGCCGTGTTTGCCTGTTACTTAGATGTACATTGAGCTGTAATATTAATTATTGTTTCATTCCATATTGTTTTTGATATAACAACTTCTGGAAGACCTTATAAATAAATAAATAAATACTTTTTTTAATCAAATTTGGATTAAAAAAAACTTTTTCATGCCTATGGCTCCGTGACGCAACTCCTAAAGTCACGGGTTCGATTCCGTACACGGGTCAGATGTACTGCAAGGATATATAAGGCAATGTATTTAGAAAAATAAATCATAAAACTATGTCATGAAGAAGAGTCTGTAATTAATAATTGATGCGTTTTTTGTATGTGAAAAAGCGGAAAACGAGCTGGCGGTTCATCCCGTAAGGTTGTAAATGCGTTGCCACCTTTAAATAAAGTGGGCCCCGGCTACCTTACTCTCCAGAGGAAACGTAGAAATGTAACACTTCTACTTTATGTCAGTATTCTGTGAGGTCATAGCACTTACCTGGACGAACCTGCTCATTCGTGCAACAGCGAAGACTGTTGCGTGGTCCTACCGAACCAAAACGCGTTGTTTAATTTTATTCTGATTTTGTCGTTGTGGGAGGTCCTTTGCAATGACGGCGTAATCTACACGCTTTTGATCGGAACCTCGTTTTTCGAGGCCCCACCGCGCCTGTTTTCGCTCATTTTCGATGCACAATTTTGCAAGCTGATGCAATAAGAATAATAATAAAGCGCACGTGCTCTATATTTCAACACGTTTTTCTGTACCGCGCTGCATTTTCAATCCGCGAAGAAGCCGAGCCTTAGATTCTGATAAACACATGTGACGTTAAGAATACGTTTCTCTGATTTCAAGAAGTAACCAGTTGTTATCCTGTTTTTCTACTGTCATATTTGTATATCGAGGCTCTGTCCAGACGAAACGACATGGTGCTACTCCGTAGGGGACTTTTTTGCCTGGTGTTGGGTGACTACCGCCGCCATTGGACATCTACAACACCTGGCTGGATTTCAGTGGCTTGACAACCATTAAAAAGTTGGGCCCCGGTTACTTGAGCCTCAGTCACCAGACGAAACACGAAAGTATAATACTTCAACTTCACGCTGGGCTTCTGTGAGGGCACGGTACTTCCCTATACGATACTGGCCATTCGCAACTATGGCAGCTTCTGCGTGACCTACCACCGCTCAAAGCCTGTCACTATATATTATAACTATTAAGTCGATAGACGTAAAAGTTTTGTTTACATTTTAAAATGCTGCAAAACTTTTAAACCCGTTAAACAGGATTTGTTGCGCATAACAACAAAATCGATCAAGTTGCTATTAAGTTAATATGCTTCGTTTCAGTGACTCAAAAATCGTCACTTTATTGCTCGAGAGGCGAGTAAAAGTTTCCTTGGAAAACGTGAACCGCATAGGGTCAGGACGGCTTGCGAAAGCCGACGCGACGGGCCGATTAGTAAGCGCAGCGCTCGGGACACGAAATTTTACAATTTCACTGAATAACTGGACGTGACGGTGAATACAAACACAAGTCCACGCCAATCCTCCAGATGCCACTTGCTTTCAAAACTTGCATGATGACGTATATACTCTGTATATACTACCGATAATGGGGAATAGTTTTAGTTACATTACAATGAACAGTCATAGCAGTGTCTTTATGATGATTTTTACGTTGCTGTTCAGTATGACCGTACACTAGCCACTTTGCGAACTTTTTTTACCAGACTCTTGAAGGAGGGTAATACTCGTATTGGTAATACTTCGAGCGTATTTAATATTTATGTATGTACATATGTATTTCTAATTCTTTGGTAAGCTCTATAGCCTAAACCTTTTTACTAATTTCAACATATGGAGAGTTATAAGATTCATCTCAATTCTGGAAATAACATAGGGTATATTATTTCCATATGGTGTCATTGATAAATAAAATTATAGTAACTTTATTACAGTTTGGTTTTTGTTTCATTCAATAAATTTTGCTTGTTGAGTTTCCAATTTAATGTAAATTGACAATTATCGTTTTATCACTTACGTTGAAGAGTTCTCTTGGTTGTTGCTGGATATCTCCGTGGCTCATTATTCGGATTTTTTTTTTAAAGTTATGAAGTTTTTTTTGTACCTCGATTATAAGTGACAAAGCTGGAGGGCTCCCGAGCCTCGGCTCCGGTCGTCAAGCTATTATTAAAATCACTGGTTTGGGAGGCGGCAAAGCTCTCAGGTCGCTTTGACGCACGCTCCGTGGAGTCACTAGGCTCAAGAGCCGTCGAAAGGGGACCTCGGCTTGGGCTGTTACTCAATAACCGTTTAGAATTCCGATTCGAGGGTGCCCAAGAGGGCCGGACCTCGGTTCGATCGGTAGCCGTTATCTAACTAGAAGTTATGAAACTATTAACGCTGGTTCATGTGCGGTACCCATGCCATAGTGCATACATGTCACTGATATTGCGTGCCGACTGTGTTTATTTGCTGCAATAATGGATAGGTAAACGAAACTAAGACAATTTTTCCAATAACAGTCGCGGTATGAAAGAAAATAGAGCGACTGGAAAACAAATGTACAGGTATTTTAAAAGACTTGGCTTCATTATGAAATTAATTTGGATTTGGAATTCCAAATAGTTCGAATTCACACCAGCCATCATTAAACATGGGTATTTTTAACTTAATAAATTGCAAGCCACAAGTATGTTTAAATACAATGTGTTTGCAGATATAATTATTATTATTTGAAAGCAATGGCAAGCTATTCACCTCGTTACTAATACAAAACCGCCGCCCATGGCCACACAAGGGTTAGGTAAGAACACTCGTATCCTTTGCTTTTTAACTTATTCAAGTCTGCTTGCAAATCTCAACTGCAAATGTCCCTTAATAAAACCGACTATTTTTCACTCATTTCCTGTCCACGGTGTGAGATTATGGAATTTCTAAAATCTTTTTTTAGAGACAAGTTATATTTAGTATAACAAGTTATAAATAGTATGTAAGTTATATATTAGGCATAATAAATATGTATAATCTATTTTTGTCGTAAGTTATTACGATATGAAAATGATGACTATATTGTTGTTATACTTATATATTTTTGTATCTTTTAATTATTAAATTAATATAATTCTGTTACACACCGATTGCCACGTATTACTTGCAATTTCCACTAAAAGACCTGCTGGAAACTTCATGTTGAAATAAGCAGTCTCTGTGTGTTAAGTTTCCTTTTATGCTTTTTTTTGTTAGATGTGTATGTGTGTGCATGAATAAAAAATCTAATATATAAAATGTCACGGTGTTTGTAATTGAACTCGTCCGAAACGGCTCGACAGATTATCCTGAAATTTTGTGTGCATATCGGCCAGAGTGGAGAGTCGGACAAAATCTATTTTTCATCCCCCTAAATGTTAAGGATGGTCCACTCCAAATATTTTTTCTACCCTACAAATTCCTTAGAAATAATTTATACAGCAAGACAACGTTTGCTGGGTCAGCTAGTAATATATAAAAAATAAGACCAGAAGGTGTCATTACCTCACTCTTCGGACTATACACGTTTACTTCATGCCGGTGTTGAAAAACATACAAGTACTCGCCTAAATCACAATGTCCAATTAACAACGAAGCGGTGTAGGTGTAGATAAATTAAAATTAATGCGTTTGAAATCGTCGTTACTCAGGCGATTCACGTGCGTTTTGCTCCTTCCGTAAATATAACGGAACGCTGCCATAATACATCTAGTCAATTAAATGCGTAATTTAATTTCACTTTTTTGTCTTGTACATAATGTGTTCTAGTATAATCGATTAACTGATATTTTTACTATTTGTACATCTACTTTATTGAAACGTGTGCAACGCCTCTGCAACTCCACGGGTGTTGCAAATGTCCATGGGCGGTGGTTATCACTTAACATCCGGAATGAACCGCCATCTACTCACATGAAAAAGACTATTTTCCGGAAGTTGAAGCATTTCATTTGTTAAAATCATTTCCAATGTTTCGACCACAACGGCATCTGTATTATGTTTATCACCTAACTAAATAATAAGTTGTCAAAAGGCTGGATTGACTAGGGTTTATACTTTTTAAGTATCTCATTTAGATCCGTGACCATGTAATATTCGAAATGCCAGGAATTAAAACAATTAAAATATGTTAAATTTGTTTAAAAAAAGTTTTGTTAAGAATAAATTAAATTTGAATTTAGCTCTTGGTGTTGACGCATTTTATTTTGTTTTTTTCTTACTTAACTGTGGAATAACATTAAATATCTCACTCTACCTACTAAGGGGCTTAAATGTGACGAAAGTTCCTAAAAGGGCTTTAATTTTGATGTTTTAAAGGTGAACTAGTTTTTATTATAATTAATATGTCATATTACGCAATTTCTAAGCTTATCGAAAGGAAAAATTGATATCGTTGTAAGTTTTTTATGATTACTTATTTAAATTTTGGTTACTTATATGGCAGGTATAGTTACAATTTATCCTACTCATGATTATATTTTACGATAACGTCTATTTCACTAAACCAGTACAATTAATACAATATAATACCTGTTTCCAATGCATACTTGATGTTTCAACTCATCTACATTATTGTACAATATCTCTTATTTGTAAATATTAACTGTATTTATCTTACAGTTGACTTATATACAAATTACCACAGTTTAATGATTAAGCGTAATCAATCTAATTATAAAACAATAAGAACTTGACTATGCTGGCTATATTCGAATGAAAATATTGAAATATGTACGCACATATACGCAAGATATTGCCATCGGGTCACATTCCCACAAGGATGAATTCCGAACCTAATCGCTCATAAATATTGACAGAGTGGGAGCGAGTGTAGTTTTTTTGGGGGTCGGGATGAGGGTTAACGGAGGGCCCGAATTCTTGGTGCCATTGTCAACAGACGCGGTCGAAATGGGTCAGCAGGTATCAGGTATAACGTCTCCCTGCGCTCGACGTGCTGTGCCGCCGTGCGCCCATTCGCTTTTTGCCCACCTTTCGTCGCGGGCGCCTCCACCATTGTTCGGGGGCATTTCTCTCGCGTGGGAACCGTCGTGCGTTTAGTGCGTTACCCGCAGCTCTGTGCGCAAGCGGACGCGGCGTCGAAAACACGTGATGAGCTCGTAATCTCTGTTAGCGGAGACGTCTCGCGACACGTGAAATTGACATGAGGCAGTGTAACGCGATTGGACTGTCCCGGTGATAATTTAAGTGATGGTCGAACAGATCTAGTGGTTGTTTTACTGTTCGATAAGTGCACTATGGCCGTCTCGCCGGTAAGATGTTTGACTTACTCCGTTTTGTTCGCTTCAGGTTAGCTTCGTGTCTGTTTGTTTTCGGTCTGTTATCGCGCGATAAAAGCTCGCCTTGTTTCGCTCCGTGTACGTTCGTTAAGCGAGATATCCATTTTGATATTACACGTATGTTAGTGTTAATTCATAATGATTGTTTTTATTTCGTAAATCGTTTGTTTATGTTCTTTTGTAATTTTGTAGACTTTTTAAATTCAAGAATACACTGACACTATCCTTTTTCCATTAGCTTTTAGGATTGTTAGTGAAGCTCCGACGCAATCTCGAAATTTTAAAAGCCTTCAAGTCGCAGTCCTTAATTTCAGTAAAAGCTTTTTTAAAAGGTCAGAGGCGCTCAACGATAGTAGGAAAAAAAAACAATTACGGCACTCAATTGGTTTGCCTCAGGGTAGAATGTAAATTCTTGTCCAGAATTTAAAATAACACATTCCGATACCTTCTCAGTAACTTCATTATGTTGCGTAAACGTTTTGTTTAGTCGACGAGAACCCAATAAGTGTTTACCTCTCAATGTTATACTACCAAATTCTTAATATAAAACCAGTTGTTGACATTGCTATGTCAAACATTGTCATCCTTAACATGCATTGATGAAAATATTTGGATTTTGATAAATAAATTGTGATGAAGCTTGAAAACACTTAAGTTTAACCTTTTTGAAAATCAGTACTATAATTAATATTTCCTATTTTTGTTCTTGTTGAACATGTTCCCGGAACTTTACTTATTCTGTTTAATAATTTAAGGAAAAAGTTTTACTGGATGATTTCGTTCGTTTTCTAATTTTTTGTGTCAATAAAATAACATTAATTTTAGTCATTATTTATAATTTCAAATATTATATCAGCACTAATTAGAACTATTATTAAGTTCGTGGGGGAGGCCTATGTTCCGCAGTAGGCTCGAACAGGCTGAAATGATAATGATGATGATAAATTAGAAGTTATTAAATACATGTTATCAGATTGGGTACATTAATACTTTTAGTAGTAGTAGCATAGGAGTAACCTGAATGGTCAATTTTGTGCTTGTCTCCGTGAGTCTTCATAGCTCAGTCACTACGCCTAACAAAAAAATTTATTTCGAGGATATTATGAAATCTGCCAATCCGCATTTGGGTCGTGTGGTGGACTTTTCCCGAATACCTTCCGTACAGAGGAGTCCTTTGCCCAGCGGTGGGAAATGCCATATTGTGTTCCGTTTTATGGACAGTTTCTTTAAACTGAGATAATACACTTTATTCTTTTCAACAAAAATGTAAAAAACATACTGGCTTGTCAAACAGTTACACGCAGAGAAAAGATTATCGCAGTTTTGTGCAAATGAATCGTCATGTTAAAACCAAAAACTAAATTTAAGAACAATATACATTTTATTAAACTTAAAATTTCAAACCGCGACGCGGCAAATAGTAATAAATTTTAACAAAAAAACCATTCCCACATTTTTGTTAATTTCTCGCAATACTTTTTAAATACAGAACACGAACTGCGAGGAATGTGAAAAGTACATGAATGTTAGCGGAAGTAAATTTCTTCCTCATCACTCACTCACTGGTCATTTACCGGTTTCCGTATGCGCGAAATAATTTATGGACAACGACTGTTCGTGTGTTATCATAATTATAAAATTTATATTTAACGATCTTCGAAGCGACTACAAACGTAATTGGCTTGACTGTCAGCGAGTTTAGCGAATCTGTCATTTATGGAGCGGTGATTTATTTGACAGTTTGGTATGATTTTCGAAGGAATGCAATAATATTATATACAAATACGAGTTAGTTGTGACATTAGCGCACCGAATTAACAATAACGCCAATTGGTGTAATTAGATTGCAATTCCATATAATGCTATCTGTTTTATACTGGTCCAAGAGCCCAGGGCCGCCAGACGTTACTTATTTTATGATTAACAAAATATAATTATCTGTTAAAATTTTGTAAAATATATATGAAAATCAGCACTCCAAATTTAAGAAAAGTGAGCGAAGTTTTTATGTACCTTTAGCACTTGGTACCTATGAATTGATTAAATGCATTCAGATTTTACTCTAACACTACTCTGTACGATATATTTTGTTACTCAGAAAATAAGTTACGTGTGGCAGCCCTGGGCTCTTGCTCTATACGTTCTGTATTATCTATCACATTCACTTATATAAATATTAAATAATGTAAAGCGGAACAATTTTTAAACGCCGTTCAGTATGGACATGCATCATCTTAGAAAAATGTCTAAAATCTAATTGTAAGACGAAGAGAAATTAATATATTTTGAAGAGAAATATAATTTAAACATTTCATGTAACTTATTCCACCAGATTTTTTCATAAGGACATTCCCAGATCGTCTTCTGGTTAGTGATATTTCGTATATGTAACTATAAAAGTATAAACAATCAGTAATATTGTCTTTTCTTACCATCATGTCTGTAGTCATTTTGGTAGTCTTTTTTAAAAATCGATAAAGTTTTAGTCTGTGAAAAGTTTTCATAATTCACTAGATTCTGAACAAGTCTCACGAGACTTGCTCTTGAACTGCACACTCATTGTCTGTGGCAATTGTTTTCTTATGGGAACAAATACATCGCTAAAACCCGCGAAAGCGTCTTTCCCATAGGAGCTTGAGTCTCCACCAACTAATTCTATGTTATTATGTATTTCACAAAATGCAATCACACGAAATAAAACATTACATTGTTTATATCATATGTGAGTACAAAAGCGCCTCGTAAGTAGTGAAATTGCAATGGCATGATGCGTGACTTTACAACTAAATAAAAATTCGAAAGCGGTATGTGTAACATTTGGCAAATATTAGCAATGAGTAAAGTTGCTTATGTTCAAGGAGAGTTGATGTCGAGTAACAGACATACAAGTAGAAAGCGGTGAACGAATAAAATGTATTAGTTACTTTAAAAATGTTATGAATTTTATACGCTATGGCGGGCGGCTTACTTAAGTGACAAAATAAATTAACGTGCGATAATGTGGTCTAATAGTCATAAGCAGACACAATCATCTCTGACATACAATATAAATAAGTATATATTAGGTATGGTAGTTCAGTAGTATGGTAGTATTAGATCTTATGTGATAACGCAAATCTTAATGTAATACACAATCTGTTTAACTTTTGGCTAGAGTACCACTTGGAATGGTTATCCGCATCTCTACATCCGTACATCTAAGCTGTGGACTGTGCATTCGCTTCATATATGCATTCCGTTTAGAACCATTTTACCAAGTAGCAAGATGATTTCTCAGCGCTTCTAGTTCTGGAGGAACCTTAAATCTAGATGAAAACGGGCCTCAAGAAAAACTTAAGCCATTGTAAGATTCAAGTTTCAACCTGATTATTTCCTAAAATCTTGGAAAATGAATTTTTTTCAACTGTTATACAATTGCGTCAGGGATATCCCGTACCGTTGCGCCTTAAAGCAGTTAAACTCATTTGTTTAAACATCGATGGGCTCGTCCTAAAGACATTTGAATAAACGGGCTTGTCTAAAAGGCGTTATCACTACGCTACAGATACTTTGTAACTCAACAATGTAACGTACACAATGAGCGGAACGATTCGCCAACGATTAAACTACCGACGCGGATAAAACAAGTGTCCGTAATTAACACCGAACGCTTTCGTTGACCGCGACAGTGAAATGAACCGGCCTCATGGGATCGTTGTAATGACCACAGACCTAAAACTCTATTGAACATGGCTGCTTATTTAATATTATAATCATGTGTGAGCCATATCTTAATGGGGTTGCGAAATATGCCACAAAAACTTTTAACTCTATTAGAATTATTTTGACACCTTTTTGTGCACCTACCTAATCTTTTCTGTATCACCCCATGGTTGACTGGGAGGTAATGCCTTTGGCATTAAGTCGGCCTTTGTACTATCTGTGCATAAAGAACAAATAAATAAATAAATTAACCCATTGAATTGATGTTATTTGGAGTAGGTGGACAGAGGAGATATGAATTCCGTACAATAAACTTCAGAATTGAGAATATCTCAATAAAATATGCGACGGTATTTTTTAGGAGCGAATGTAGTCGAACGCGCAAGCGTATTCGATGTTAATTGTTTATCGACACCCATGGACATCATAACAACCGCCTTGCCATTGCATTGCCAGTCATTGAGATTTTACTGGGGCTGGTAATGCAAAAGTATACGTAATTTTTGTATATAAAAAGATGGCAAGCGTGCTGGTGGTTAACCTGATGTTAAGGGACATCCGCCGCATGGAAATTTGCAACATATAATGTAATTTATAAATGCGTTGCCCCCTTTGAAAAAAGTGGGTCTCGGTTACCACAATCGACAGACGAAACGCAGAAGTATAATCTTCCAGTTCATGTCGGTCTTCTGTGAGATCGTGGTACTACTATTCCGGACGGACCTGCTCATTCGTGCAACACCGAAGGCTGTTGTGTGGCCTTACCACGGCGTTATCTACTTTATACCTGCCATGGAACTTCGCCGAAATACCTAATGAAGCACCAACAGAAGATATCCCTTTAATCGGCTACAGAATGTTATCTGATTGGTTGTTAAGATGTCTATGATAAGAAAGGGAAAATGACCATATATTAACGTAGCTGATTGCTGAGTTTTATTACTTAAATAGAAAATAAGGGTCGACTAATAATGGAGGTCACAATAATTGTTGTTTTAGGGTCCAGCTATAGTACTAAAATTATTTTTCCTTTTGTACTATTTTTACTAATGATAGATTGCAAGGTTTGGTGGAATCATCTCCGTAACAGAAATATATTGTTGTTATAATAACTTATATACTTTTTCGAATTGATATTTATGTACATTTTGCACGCCCTTTCATCAAAACTTACATAAAAATGGTTTACTTGGGTTTATTTTTAGTTGTAAATATCAATTTTACTTGTTAGTTTTATCTGACGGTGAATTAAAAAGAACCACTTTCATATT